GTTTAAGGTTTAGGGTTTAGGGAATGGGTATTCGCTAGTCAGAGGTCGGCACTAGGGCTTAACCGCTCCAAATGGGCCTGAATCCTAAACTCCACCTGGGTTAGGCGACTCTTAACGGATTTAGAGTGGGGGTTTGATCGTCGTAGATAGTAATTACCAAAAGTTAAAGCGCCCTACATGGATTTAGGCTTACGGTTTCAGTGGTTCATTCCTTGAGGACCAAATGACCCTTAAAAGTAGGAGCCTTATTCCCATATGGTATATGAACCTTAAACCCTTTTAGGGTTGATTTCGTCCCTAAGGTTTGACGAGGACTTTTGTATGTGTGAATGGCTCTCACCGAGGTCGGGCCTTAAACCCTAATTCTTCGGGACTTTTAAGATCAAAGTTTCGGGTTATGTGGGGATTGCACCCTAAACCCTAAACCCTAAACCCTAACATTCTCGACTTCTCAGGGTGATCTGTGGCGTTGAGGCTGCAAGATGGCCCCTCATCGACAAAACGAGGTTTAGGATTTTTTGTGGATCTCAAAAACCGACGATTATGAGGGTTGAGCTCCATGGTTAAGTGGTCATAACCTACTAATTTGTAGAGATTGGGGCTGTGGCAGGTAGGGCTTAGGGCCTTAGGGTTTCGGCGTGAGCGATGGAGACTCTGGGTTATGGTTTAGGGTTTGGTTTCTTAGCTCTTGTGTTAGGCATGAAGATTTCAGGCTTGAAGACCTAAGGTTAAGTAATACGGTTGATGATATAAATCCTGCATTACCCATAATAAGGAAGATACCATATTTCCTATATAATGGGGCCCTGAAGGTAATGCAGGATTTATACCAGCAACAGTAGGGATAGGAGTTTGGGGTTTAGGGTTGTTGATCAGTCAGCCGATGAGTCTGCAATGATGAGGGCACCTTTTCCGGATGCCCAGCAGGTCTCCGACGCTCGCCAAAAGTCAAATCCTAAACCCTGCCAGCAGCCGGCAGGTATACACGTCTCACTATATAAACAGCTCGTTTCTAACATGGAGGCTAGTTGGATGATCCCAAATCCTAAACCCTACCAGTAAATGCAAGAGTACTTCGCCAATCGCGCTGCGGTCACGGACTGAGCCACGCTTCGTATTGTCCGAAGAAACTGTAATGTCCCTGAGTTAAGGATTCGGGTTTAGGGTTTAGGGGTTTAGGGGTTTAGTTGAGTAACTCAAATAATTACAAAGATTCCTCAACTCAAGGATTCTCAGTCTCTGGACCACGGAGAGTGACCCTGACTTTGAGAAACCACTCTCCAGGCCGTTCTGACCTCACTCGTTCGATACATCGGTTTAGGGTTTAGGGTTTAGGGTTTAGGGGTTAGGGTTTAGGGGTTAGGGTTTAGGGTTTAGGGTTTAGGGTTGTGTGAACTCCAGTAGGAGGCGCAGTACATCCTCGTGTTGCTTCATGCGTGCCATGGACAGAGGGCTGACACCATTTTGGCACGCCTTGTTCTGGTCGGCACGCGCCTCTAAAAGGACGCGGACGACTTCTGCATCACTGCCTTGGCATGCGAAGAACAAAGGTGTCAGGCCATCACGCTGCGCCTTCTCCTTGTCAGCATTGGCCTCCAGCAGTAGCCGAATGATCTCGATGTAGCCAAGTGCAGAAGCCATGGATAGTGGGGTTCCTCCGATCGGGTCGGTCTTGTTGCTGTCAGCGCGCTCAGAGAGCAAGAGGCGCACGACCTCAACGTAGTTGCTTTGACAGGCGATAATCAACCTGAGCTGTTCTGGGAGGCCCATTAAAGAATGTGCGGTTTGCTCCTTCTTAAGAGTGTTCTTGTCTTTTCCTATCAAATAGAAACTATGCCGAACTTCAACAGCATACCATAACTCAGTTTAAAACCCAAAAACAGGAATACCTACACAATAAAACGTAGGGTTTCTATACTATACTTGGGACTACTATTAGGTTTTGGTCAGGGTTCCCCATATAGGTACTTAGGACCCTTTCGGAAAACAGTCATACTAACTTGCTTCCCCAATAAGCCAGGGAAAAAAAAGGTTAAACTTTCAGATTACTACTAAATTACAACAACCCCAAGAGTTTAAAGACCCTATAGCACCCATTAAAGGAACCCCTTAAGGAACCCTGGTTGGGTATTTGGGGGACTATAACCCTAAACCCTAAACCCTAAACCCTAAACCTTAAACCTTTAACCCTAAACCTTAAACCCTGACCCTAAACCCTAAACCCTAAACCCTAAACCCTAAACCCTAAACCCTATACTAAAGAGTGGCCTGGCGACGGCGTCGGGCCGTCCTTCACGTCCCTGTCCTGATCAGCCTTTGCTTCGAGCAAGAGCCGAGCAATCTCCAGGTGCCCGAACTGGCACGCTACCTAAGTTCAGGGTTTAGGGTTTAGGGTTTAGGGGGTTCCTTTAAGGGCTACCTAAGGGTTCCTTTAAGGGCTACCTAAGGGTTCCTTTAAGGGCTACCTAAGGGTTCGTTTAAGGGCTCCTGTAAGGGTTCCTTAGGGTTTAGGGTCTAGGGTTTAGAGTTTGAGGCATTAGTGTTTAGGGGCTACCTGGGATGTTTCGGAAGAGCCGCATTAAGCTCCAACAACCCTGAATGTTTATAAAGATGACTACATATACAAATATTTACTAACCAAAACAATAGTTGCAGATAGAGCTGAAATTTCGAACATGTACATATCTATCTATCTATCTATCTATCTATCTATGTATCTATCTATCTATCTTTCTATCTATATGTTATACAGATGTGTTTAAATATGTTTCTGTTGAGGTGTGTGTGTGTGTGTATATATATACACACATGTACCGCCTTTGAAACCTGTATTCAGTGACTTTCGAGTAAGTCCCTACAGCAGGACCCAGCCACAAACAACGGGGTTGCTCCATCGTCGCAGCGGGCACCATCTGTCTCAGCAGAAGCCTCCAGCAAGAGCCTAGGTGCCCAGATAAAACGCCCAACAAAGTCAAGGTTGAGTATAGGGGCCTTAATAATTAGAATGGGGTTTGGGGGGCTTTATACATTTATAATTAGGATCCCCCCCAAAACCCTCTTCTAATTATTAAGGCCCCTATATTAGGGTCTTTTAATCTATTATTCAGCCTGCATGACCCGGCCCATTATATAAAACCGACAAGACACTACTTCGGAACCTAGACTACCCCCCTTTAAATCCTGTAGAAGTATGAAAAACAAAAATAACCTAAAGCCACCCCCAGCCCCAAACCTAAACCCTAGACAACGAAGAAACCCTAAACCCTGAACCCCAAAGACTCCCTAAACCGGGTTAAGGGTTTAGGGCCTTAGGGTCCTTAACCCTAAACCCTAAA